TATATCTTGAAGATTTTATTTATTTGAGAGAGAGAGAGAGAGCATGAGTTGGTGGAGAAGCAGAGGGAGAAGCAGACTCCCCGCTGAGCAGGGAGCCCAATTCAGGGCTCGATCCCAGGACCTGAACTGAAGGCAGATGCTTAGCTGAGTGAGCCACCCAGGGTCCCCTGGTGTATATGTTTTTAATATCAAGCAATTTTCTCTTTAATTTTTTTTGAGTATAGTTGACACACAATGTTACTTTAGTTTCAGGTGCACAACACAGTGATTTGACTTCTCTACGTTTTATGCTGTGCTCTCCACAATGTAGCTACCATCTGTCACCACAGCATTTCATTTTTAGAGGTTAGGGTTAATACACTGCTCATCAAACTGTGTTTTCTGTTTCTTTTTTTCCCCATTTCCCATTATAGTAATTATTTGTGTTTGGGGAGAATATTTAGCAGTTCTTCAGTGATTTTTTTTTTCTTTTTTTTTTCTTTTTTAAAGATTTTATTTGTTTATTTTAACCATCTGGGCCACCCAGGTGCCCCTTTTATTTGTTTATTTTCAAAAGAGAAAGAGAGAGCACGAGCGGGAAGGGCAGAGGAAGAGGAAGAGAGAATCTCAAGCAGACTCTGTGCTCAGCATGGAGCCCAAGGAGGGGGTCTCAATCCCAGGACCCTGAGATCATGACCTGAATTGAAACCAAGAGTCAGACGTTTAACCGACTATGCCACCCAGGTGCCCCCTTCAGTGATTTTCCAACATCCAAGTCACCCCAGTGGACAAGACCCACAAGATCCTTCCTGACCTGACCCTGCTCCCTTCATCTTCTGTTCTACTCAACCTCCCCCCCTCCCAACCCCAGTGCTCTTTCAACAGGAGAACCATCCCAGTGCCTCAGAAATGCTGCTGGCTCTTAGGCTTCTGGGACTGGCTTGTCTCTCTCCCTCTGCCTGAAATGTAACATTTTCCCTCCTTTCCTCCGCATCTTTCAAGTATCTCCATTTTAGTAATGACCAGTTGTGCAATAAATGGTCTGTTTTCATACCTACTTCCACTGTTCGATTTTATGTTCTATGAAGTCACAGGCTCTATCTTGTTCACCAATGTCTCCTTAACACATAGCACTGTATCTAGCAAGAGGCAGATCCTCAGTCCATATTGGATGGGTGGATGGATGGGTGGATGGATGAATGGGAGGATGGGTGGATGGCAAGATGACAAAGTATTGGGTAAAGGTAGAGAAGAACAAAAGACAGTAGATTCAAAATATTAACTATGTGGAAGGGAATGTCGAGGGACATATGTAATCAACCTCAGATCTGCAGTGATGACCAGAGTTAGTTAGGAGCAGAAAGTCCAGGGAGTGCTTCTTGCTGCTGTACCCATGAAGGTTGCATCTGGGATTCATCAAGAGTGTCCGACTACAGCAAGGGCTCAGAAAGCAGGACGTGACTTTTGCTTTGGAATTTTGTGGTTAGCACTAAGTGGCAGCATCTCTGGTGGATTTAACATTTTTCCCTGAAAGCCAAAGAAATTTAATCTGAAAACTGGCATCCTAGAGGTGATAATTAGAAGAGAATGGTTAAGGATATAGAAACATCAGAGTCTCTGCTTGGAGCCTCAGGTTAGGACCTGTCGTTGAAATAGCCTCACTGATGTTGGACAGAAACCTAAACATTTCTCCGTGCCATGCCAATTTTTTAAAAGTGCACCATTTTTCTTTTATGAGTCTAAACTGGGTTTCTGAAGTTGTCGTTCCTGAAGCTTCTCTTCCCTTAGGGTAGTTCTCTTGTTCCTCTCAAAAGATCCACTTAAGCAGTTTGTGTGCCGCATAGTTGCAAGTAGGTGGGCAGTTCTTTAGGAAAACAAAATTCTTCAGCTTAAAAGAACATCTGCTCTGTGTCTGATCACTAGATACCTCCAACTTTTCTAGCAAGTTGTAACATTTGTACTGACAACCCTAAGGCGTATTTTGGCGCGTTAAGGAAATCTACACTCAATAAATGCGTTATTATACATGTCTCTAGTGCTGTGTTCAAGGACCCTCACCTGCCTCCCTCACTTTGGGATGCTTGCTTAATAAAGTTTTAGTTGTGCCTTACCTCCGACCAGATCCAGGCAGATATGCAAACGAGTGTGGGTCCACAGGACTCAATTAAGCCTTGCCTTGTCATCGGGGGACCATCGGGGAGCTGGGGATGTCCTCCACGAGAGCACATTCTGGCACTTAAAAAATTATACTCACAAAATGTTGAAGGGAAGAGAATACTTTTTCAAGGGCCCCAAGTCAAGTAACCAGTGACCAGATTTCCATCTGTTTCAAATTAAATGTGTTTATTATCTTTGCATCTCCTTCTGCAGCTCCACATCGTCAGTTAGAAAATATCTTTGGGGATCTTAACTTACGCTCAAAAGCATGTTTTTTATAAGTTTAACTGGCTGTTTGCTTTCACACGCAGGCAGCGATATCTCCTCCTTCACTCTGAGTCTGTGCTTTATCGAAGTTGTGGGAGAGGGCTTATGGGTCCTATTCACTCGACATTCAGACATTCAATGTTTTGTTGTCGTCGTCGTTTTGTTTTGTGTTTCTTTGTTGCATGAGGTCCCAAACTCTATGTTAGTTGTTAGAAGTAGAGTGGAAACAATATAGTAAGTAAGTATATAAGTGAAGTAATTGTAGTTTGTGAAAGGTGCCAGAAAGGATATAAACAAGGGAGCCAGTAACTGGCAAAGGCCACCCTTTGGAATAGGTTATCCCAAAAGCCTCTTTGGGCAAACGAATTAGGAGCCGAGACCTGAAGGTAAGAAGAAGCTGTTCAAAGAGACACTAGGGGATGAGCATCTGGGCAGAGGAAACAGTCACGGTAAAGGCTTCGAGATAGTCCAGGACTTAGACTATCTGAGGAAGAGAAAGCAAGCCAGTGTGGCTGGAGAGGACAGAGAGAAGGAAAGTGGTGTGTAATGCAGCTGGAGGGAGGCCCTCGTTGGGTCAGGCAGGGCCCCATGGGAAATGTTCAGGATTTTAGATTTTATTCCAGAAGCAAGCAGAAAGCCAGGAGAGTATGCCATGCTTGGATTTGCATTTCATGAGGATGAGGCTGGCCAATCTGTGAAGAAGAGATTGGAGAGGAGGAAGGGGAGGTGGGGAGGCTGGGTGGGAGGTGGCTGCATCAGCCTTGGTGTGAGAGGTGTGTTGGTGGAGGTGGGTGGGGGAGGGTGGGATGGAGAGGTTTTGGGAGTAGACTTGGCAAGCCCCCCCCTGGCTAGACGGGACAAGGGACAGGAAGACCCAGAGACCCGCTGGTGTTCTGACCTGAGCAACAAGTGGATGCCGGTGCTACTTACAGCGAAGGGGCAGTCCTAGGGGCACAACGGCCATTGTGTGGAAAGGTGGGGACCGGAAATCCGTTTTGAATGTATGAACCTGTTTCTAAGCTCTAGATAGAAATGAAGAAGTCTCTTGGCAATAAGTCTCTCAAAATGGTAAAGTTTATCATTTATTGGTGTAACTTTAGAAATAATGACAGAAACATTTGGGACAACATGCCTTGGAGGTCCTGACAACTCAGGCTGGGGAAATTAGGGATGGCTCAAGGGTCAACAATAAATCTAACGAGTGGCATAGCGTGTGGAAATATGTAACCGTGGATTTTCTCCTCTGCAACTTCTCGTTTGATCAGACTTTATTCCTGTATAGGGATAAAAATGCTAGGTAGGGAATGGGTGCAAGGAGTCTGAGAGCTACGGGTGCTGAGAGGATTGCAGAAACATCCAGAAAGGAAGATGAGAAACATGACATGGAGAGAGAAAGAAGGACTTGGGGCTGGGAAGACATGCTTAGGGGATGATACAATCTACTTATCTAATATTGTCCTTTGAGTTTCAGTGAGTGGAACTCATTTTTTTTTTAAAGCAACTCTACAAATGACATTTGCTTTGCAAAGCAAGTATGAAAAACCATGAACTGAAGGACCTCATAGCATTTCTTCAGCTGCGTCTCTGCCTTCCTATTCATTTTCAGCAGATTCTGTTTGTTTTTCCACCAGCCTGCCCACTTCCGAGTACACGCTGTTCCACTCTTTACTTTGCTTATCTCCTTTTCTGTTTGCTTATCTCCTTTTCTTTTCTGGGTGGTGCTTTTAGAAAGCATAATATTTGGATGGTGGGGGAGCAGCCTGCAATGCAAAATGCATTATCTGGATGTTCTCGCTGGCACCTGACTTAGAAGAATAAGATTGTCCCTCTCGATTTCTGGTTTGCGTATCTACAATCTCAGAGTTGTGCAGGGGAAGTCTTTGACTTTGGGTAGAAGAAGCCTAAGTTTGGGAGTTAGAGAGGCCTGAGCTGGTGTGTTAGCTCTGCTGTTTTCTATTTTGTGACTTCAGGCTTGTGACCTCATGTCTCCAAACCCAATGTTTTCATCTGTAAAATGGGTAATGATATATATGCAAATTGTGGGGTTGTTGTGGAGTTTAAGTGATATGACCCAGGTGAAGTGATATGACCCAGGTGAAGGTCTTAGCATGGTACCTAATTCATGCTGGTAATCACAAATAGCCCATCATATCATTCTTACTAAACTTACCAACATAATGGCTGTCAGTTTGATCAGAAACAAGCACTCTTGGTAGGCTGTAAGGCTGTTGACAAGCATTACGGTGTGGGTGGAGGGGTGCTGGGGTGCTGGGGTGCTGGGTGATGTTTCTCTGTCACAGTCTAGCAACTGGAAGCTTATAGTGTGCTTAACTCACCCATTTGTGAAATGGGATGAAAAATTGTAATTGAACAATTAAATTTAAAAATGGGGGCCTTTCTTATGCAGCATGGATTGCAAGCTTCTCTTTGAACACCGAGCTGGTGACGTGGGGCCCCTCACCATTCCAGATGATGACTGTCAGCCATGACTTAAAAGCAGCTGATGCTATGGTAGGAGGTGCTCTTCCCAGTTCCCCAGTGTCCCTTCCCAGCTCTCTGCCCATCTTAGACAGCCTGGTCTTAGATCTTCTATGGACTCTTGACTAGCTTGTATGACCTCGGACAAACTATTTTCTTTTAAGACATTTATTTATTTACTTGAAAGAAAGCAAAAGCATGAGCAGGAGGGGCAGAGGGAGAGGGAGAGAAAGAACCTCAAGCAGACTCCACACTGAGCGCAGAGCCCTACACGGGGCTCCATCTCACGACCCTGAGATCATGACCTGAGCCAAAACCAAGAGTCAGATGCTTAACTGACTGCACCACCCAGGTGCTCCTTGGACAAATTCTTTAACTCTTTTAGTCTCAGTTTCCTCATCAGTAAACTGGAGATGATAGTAATGCTTACCCCGGAAGGTTCTTTTAAGTCTTAAAGCACATCAGCAAAAAGCTTCTCACGGTGCTTGGCCTACAGCAAGCACTGGGGGCTAGCTATTTTAGCATCAGAACACTTTGCAAATTTGTGGGCATCTAGTGGAAATACAAACTTAGATGAATACTGGAAGAAATCAAACTGTGGGTAAGACAGACGTATGTTACAGGGATATAATATTTTTTAAAAATACCAATGAGATTTTCTTTTTCATACACCCTTGTATACTTGATCTGTTCCCCACTCTCCTTTCAGGGAAAAGCTTCGGGGGTAGATACCCTCCATTGTCTGTCATAACCACCCTTTGCTTGTTCCCATCCTGGAGCTCACTGGCTGGGTTATATCAATGGACTGTCTTGCCTCTGGTGTCCAGTTAGGTGTGGCCAATGGGATGCTCCAATAGGGGATTACAAAAGGGGAGGATAAAGATGCCAGTATTTATTCTTCTGGCTGGCTACTTCCCTGAGGGTTTGCCTTGACCTGCTAGGACCCTTCCTAAAGGTTACAGGTTCTCTCTCCACACTCTATCCTTCTGGGTTTGGTAGCCCTTCCTTCAGTTCATCAGGTCTTGGGTCTAGAGGTGGTAACGGTTACACTGTTCCTTGCAGTTCCCCTGTACCTCTCCCATACCTTTGCAAAATCACTTTGATTTATTCTACAGTGTAAGTCATTGGTTGATGTAGTTTCCACTGTCTTGGAGAAAATCAGAATTCTCATAGCAGAAAGGAAAGAAAGTGTAGTCAATGCTAAGATCCAAATTTTGAGGTGGTATTTTGAATCCACAGCAATGGAGAAATCAAGGTTTGTGAGGAAAGAAAAGAGTTTTCTGCGTTTCTCGTGGTTTCTCTTAACAGGGAAAGAATGAGTTTAGATCAAAAGAAAGCCAGAGTGCAGAACGGCAGAGGAAATGACTTAGGGCAATTTCCACCAGACAGGAAGAGGAAGTAGAAAGCGTTGCCACGAGAGGTGGGAAGGCGGCTCTGAGAGGGTAAAACCTGGATGTGTGCCACAGCTTGGTCACTGAGAAGGGGCTGCCTCCCCCCACGGCCCCATCCCATCCAGGTTTCCCCTTGCCTCACCCCACTAGGCTTCAGCAAAATTGGAGTGATGAGGTGTTAGAAACTCTTACAGAAATTCCAGTTGGTTTGAGGGAGATTCAGCACATCTTGGCTCACCCCACAGCCCCCCTGCTCTGCACTTTCCTCCTGTGTCCACCATGGTCTGGAGGTGGTAGAACAGCCAGGATGGAGGGGTCTTTGAGGCCTGGGGTTTCTGTCAGCCCTGGTGAGGGGACACTCAGGAGTGACAGTGGCTGGGTCCTGGCATCAGCCTATTGTCAGAGCAAGGAAGCGAGAGGCCATGAAGCTCCCACACCTGGTGAACTGAGGGACCCTCAGGGACCTGAGGTGTCAGCAGCAGATGCCAGAAGGACAGTGAAATGAGCCACACGTAAGTAAACAGCAGCCCGGGACATCCAGAGACACGACCAGCTGGTAGCTGAGGACAAGGCTGTGTCAGCCACAAAGATGTGTCAGCTTCCCTCTGCACCCAGACACCGTGTTGGAGGGGGGAGGAGTGAGACAAGTGACCTCTGGAGAGAGGGAAGAAACCACCTTTGAACCGACGGAGTATTTCCCCAAATGAGGCTGAGTTCATCTCAAAGTGAAATGTTTCAAGCAGGAATAGAATAAATTATCTTCATTGGCTTTTTTCCCCCCTCTGCCATCAAGGAGGAATGGCAGCTCCAGAATAAGAGAGTAGTGATGACCGACAATGAGCTCCATTTGTTCAATACCTCTGAGTGTTCTGTGTAAAATTTGATGCCCTGTCCTTGACTTCCTCACAAGACTGACCCTTTAAATTGGGCCTTTGTGCCAGAGCCGCTGAGTCATATTAAGCGTGGTGAATGCATTTAATCTAATACGGTCATTACTTTTACTTATTAAATCATCTTAATATAATCACGTTGAAGGAAATTAATACAGAAAAATATCCATACCCCTCTACCTTATCCACAAAGACACTTTTTTTTTTTATGGCTTCTTTATCCATGTTGTTAAAATACTGGGTGACAGACGGGCCAAACCCTGTGCTTAAGAAAGGCTGTGCTCCCGGTAGCCAGAACTTGCCCCTGGTGATTTAAAGGAAGAGAGAGATGAGCTGGTTACCTGACATTGTCTTGTGGCATCAAGCTTTTGCTTACTTGGGAGAACTTCCAATTAGTGAAGTGGGACATTCCTAGGATGGTGTCCAGAGTCAACAGTGTTGATAGGATTTCACACTTTATTTCCTACTCCTTAGCCTTTGCCCTTATACAAAATCCCAGGATTCATGGGGATCCCTCTCCATCCTTTTCCTGGCATCCTAGACCCTGATTCTGGGGGCTCTAGCCTCCTTTGGAATGTTGACATTATGATGTTCCTGGAAGAATTTTGCAGATGGAATTCCCGGGCCTGTTTTAACGGGAGGCTTAGGAAAGAGATTTTAGCTTTGCTTACCTCTGCATGTTTTCTCCCCTTTGTGTTCTAATGCTCACGACATTTTGAAGGATGTGTTTTACTTGGGTTGGAAAATGCGCTCTGAAGCAAAATACATCCCCCTGCTCTCATGGGTATCACTCTGATTTGGAAGCATATGCTGTTCTAAGCAATTGTCTTTTCATGTGCCTCCATGTGTTTGGATCTCTAAAGAAACACAATCAGATCTGCCCACATCCATGAGTAGAGGGGATGCATATTTACCTCAACAAGATGGACGACAAGGGTGAATCCGGAAGTGATATTATAGATTGGGAAGCCTATTTGTGATGGGTGAAAGCAGTTGGTATTTTGAGAGGTCATTGGGTTGTCTGTGTGAATACTCCCAGGGTGTCTTCTCAGCAACCCCACAGTTCAAAGAAGGGCCTTGGGCGATGACAGCCTTGGGGTCATGTGACAAGTACTCGACACCTGTGGGCTTTACAAATGTGAAGATCAGGGGGCTTCTTCGAGGAATTCCAGGGAAGAAAATGGAGGAAACACTAAGTAAAACCTAGACACAAGATCTGTGGACAAACGGGTGAAATAAATAAGCCATTTAAGACTTCATAGTATTTCCCACTAAAAACCAGGCTCTTTGGTACCTGAGGCTTACTGTATTAGTTTTAATGGCATTACCAGATGTGAAATCACACCAACTGAATAAAATGGGAAAAATCAGACCATGATAAACCAGCTTGGCATTATTCTTAACTTCTGTCAGATTTCCTTCTTGACCCATGAAGAATTGAGAATCACTATTTAGTTTCCAAATATACAGGGGTAGTTTGGGCTGGGTTTATTTTGTTATTTTTATTTTTTGGGAGGGGTGAGGAGGGCAGAATTGACTTCTTGCTGTGCTGTGGTCAGAGAATATAGTTTGTATGCTTTATCAATACTTTGATATCATTTGAGATGTCCTTTATGGCCTAGCATGTGTTCAACGTTTGGAAGTATTCCCTGAAAACTTGCAAAGAATGTAGATTACCTAGGAGTTGAGACAATTCTAAACATGTGGATTTTATAAAGTATCTAAACCATGCTCTTCAAATATCCAACATCATTATTAATCTTTTGATCACTTTATCAGTTTGTAACAGATCAATGTTATTAAAATCATACGTTAGGAGGGACACCTGGGTGGCTCAGTCGTTAAGCATCTGCCTTCGGCTCAGGTCATGATCCCAGGGTCCTGGGATCGAGCCCCACATCGGACTCCCTGCTCGGCGGGAAGCCTGCTTCTCCCTCTCCCACTCCCTCTGTTTGTGTTCTCTCTCTTACTCTGTCTCCCTCTGTCAAATAAATGAATGAAAAGTCTTTAAAAAAAAATCGTACGTTAAGAAGTTCAAATTTTCCTAATTCTTTTGACTTTATGAAATTGCTGCTTTTATAGGTCAGTCAAATACTGACAGTTTCATGTGGCTCAACCTGATATTTTGAGGCGATGTTGCTGATGTTCACTGTCTCTGCTTTCTTATGTTCTTCTGGTTTATTATTTGATAACCTTCCTTGTCCTTAAATAATATCTTTTCCAGTCTATTCCATCTGACATTTATATGGTTAGAGCATCTTTATTTTGATCAGTACTTTTCTAGGGTAATCCATGTATCTTTATTCTGATTAAGCTCTATTTGGACTAATGTCTGGCATACTGTTTTTTTCTATTTATTATACTTTTTCTTTGCTCTCTGCCCCTTCCCCCTGCCTTATTTTTGAACTTTTAGTTTAGTAAATTTTCTTTAATCTGTTTATTCCCTGCCTCTAAGTCTTTGGAAGTTATATATTCTATTTCTATGATAGTCTTACCAACAGACTCAACTCTGATGACTTCATTTTTTTTTTTTTTCCAATACACCTTTGAGTTCCAGGGTATGTTCAGGAGTTGGAATATCCCACATGTGGATAAATCCACCAGTTTCTCCAGAAACCAGGATGCTTTTATTTGGTCACTTATCAGCCTAACATATATAACTAATGGAGAGGAGCATAAAATGTCCCTCAGTTTAGTGGAGAACCAAGAGCACGGAGTTACATCTCCTCTTGTGATGGACTTTAATAAACTGAGTTCTATGAAATTACCAGTATTCAATTGGTTTTGACTCACAAAAATGGCAATTTAATGGAGTTCGGTTCAATATTTTACTTCCTCACCGTGTGGTTGCTGTTATTATTATTATTACTTGCTGCACCCTTATTCTGTCTCCCACTACAAATTTCTGTGTCTCTCTCTTATACTCTCTTCCTTGGCTCTTGCCTTGTCCCTCTTCCCTGTCTCCAGAACTCTGGGAGAGGAAAGAGGAGAACTTGAGTGTTGAGTCTCTCCCATGTAGCAGTTAAGAACGTGGCTCTGTTGCTGGATGGCATGGTGCTAACACTCTCACTCTGAATGACGCTGGGTAAGTTACTTACCCTTTCTGTGCCTTGGTTTCTCATCTACAAAATAGGAACTGTGATGGTTCCTGTCTTGTGTTGTTGTGAAGTTTAAATCAGCTAAGGTAGCTAAAGGATATAGAAAAACACAACTTGGATGTTCAGTAAATATTAGCTAACATCCCCGGATCAAAGTCTCCCTTTCTTTAGTTAAACAGGATGATAAATTGAAAGATGCTCATCATATGTTATTGAGTGAAAAGAGGTCACGAAACAACTGCAATATAATTTCATGTTGTAAAAAATAGTATCTATATTTATATGTGCAAAGGAGATACATAGAATTTCCTCGATTACGGCTTATTTATATCTTTCTTTGTGCTTTCTAATTTTTCTAAAGTGAACATATATTTTGTGTAATAAATTACACTTTAAAAACGCCTTGACTCGGCTTATTTATATGTTTGTTCTACGCGGCATTTAAATTAGTGAGTTAGGGTACAGAGACTGTGTATATAAGCGGGAGGACCACAGGTTGATGTGGCCATTTTGATAGGGTTCAGACTGTTGGCAGACAGCTAAATTTGTTGGGTAATCTCAGAGAGATTTAGAAATTGGAAACTGAGGCACAGAAGCTAAAGCACCGAGCCATGGTGTGGGGAACTGGAAGGTCGTGTGTTGGAGCTTGATACATTAGTTGCGGGTGCCCCACGAGTGAATGAGGGAGCACAGAAGTTGGAGCAAGGATAGAATAAGGGTAGTGAGGGGGACATATAGCAGTGACAAGAAAACCTGTCGCCCCAGAGAGAGCGGTGCGGAGAGAAGCTGCTTGAGTTCCTGATGACACCCAGCCTTCAGTTCCAGGGCCCCGAAGGGTGGGGGGTCATGTGTAACCCGTTGTAAGGCTTGTCTGTGCAACCTCAAAATCCATTTCCCACTTTGGAAGCGAGCTGGAGTGAGTTTCTGTTTCTTGCTCCCAGATGCCCAGGGAATTTCCACTGGCTGCTTACCACGAACCCTCAGCACCCATTCTTACCAGCCACTCCTCAAATGTGCCTGAGTGCTTCTATCTGCAGGTTTTCATTCTGTTTTACAGTCGCGGAACGAGGGAGAAGAGCCTCGGGGTGTTACCTGGAGGGTCAGTTCTGGCTTCCCGTCATTACTAAGAACCACTGGCTCCTATCCATCAACATAATTACGGAATCTTAAAGCCCTGGAGATGGGAGCAAACTTCTCGTGAGGAATCTCCGTCTTTCAGAAGGAAGCAAAGTCAGGACAAGCCCCTCTGAGGCAGGGCGCGAAGGCTCGGAGCGGTGAAATAATGGGGCCAGGCCTAACTCATGTCAGTTTCCTTCATCTCTAACTGTCAGCGTCAGACTATTAAAACAGGAGATTTCAACCCAAGAAACCCACACCGATTGCACTAGGCCATGGTGATTCCCTCTGAGTCAGACAGGATGATATTTGAGGTCACTTAAAACCCTGAGGTTAGAAGTTTGTTTTTTTATTTTTTTAAAATACAGAGGAGGAAGATTTCACTTAATGATAGAACTGGACCTAGCATTTTGGTCTCTTAATTCCAAATTCACCATTCCAGCTACGAATGTGAAGGCCACCCATGTCCCCTTCCTTCCTCCCCAGGGCACCCTTGAGCCTTGAGGCCGTGGTTATCTTGAACCGTACCCCTTTCTCTCCCCTGAGATACTCCAGCTGTGGAAAGGCCCTGAATTGGAGCTTTGTGGGACTGACTGCAGCATTCTTCAGGGAAGAATAAGCACAAAGATGCTGGAAGAGCATCGTTTTTCCATGGGACACCATGCTGAGAGAATACAGAAGGATGCCCAAGAAGAGGTTTAAGGAACAGTCATTGCTCAACTAGGGATGCGGTTGAGTGCTCAATCTACGGGAGCTTGTATGTCATTCTGCAAGGTGATGCACTTTGCCTGTGGACTGGTCTTCTAAGTGAAAGCTGGGGATCATTTGTTCTTATCTCGACTTCTTATCTGGGTACAGAAATGGATTCCAATTTAAACATAAAGCATTAGACACAACACAACTTTATGTATTTCACTAACTCAAAGTTATAATTACGTAGATGGAGAAAGGCTGATGTTTGCCTTCAGGATGAATCTATGGATTCAGTATTATTACTCTTTGAGTATTAAAATGGGTTTCCGAAGTATTAGTGCTTGAAAAAAACTATTAGTTCCAATGGAAATGACTTCACATATGTATGGAAAAGAATCATCACGAATCTCTTGAAAATGTAATAATTCATACATTTCGCTAGATGCTTAATCTCATTTATTCATTGAGCCATTCAACAAAAATATATTGAATGCCAGCTCTGCACCAGGCATTGTGCCAAGTTCAAAGTAGGAAGTT